ATTTAACAAGATCAATAGGAAAAATACTCTTTAGATACAAAAAGAACGAAAGACCAACCAAAAAATGCAATGAAGGCAGAATATATCGTGGACTTCCACTTTTGTTAATAGCACAGTTATGTAATTCAGAACAACTTGCTTGCTGAGGATAGCTAGACATAGAAAACTCAAGCTTTGAAGCATATTGTATGATCAACTCCTCAAAGTAACTAGGGCCACTGTAATCATTCCTCAAGGAGTTTCTGAATTTGAAAGATGAACAAGTTTACTACTTGTGTTTAAACCATGATTTTTATTTGCTTAAATGTATGATGATGGAATTGATGTTTCAGAGAACTGAGGGTTGAAAGAAGGCAGCAATACCTAAAAATGTCCGCATATCCACGACAGTACATGTTTGCAGTTCTCAGTTACTAAATATGTATTCGTTATTCTGTTATATACAACTACCTCATACAAAGCACCAAGTATGTGCCAGGAACTAGTCCCAACTCTTCAGACTCTGGGACCCTCACTACATTTTCACAACTTTTGTTAAGAGTTGTAAGATGGAGTTTGGCTCTTCTGCCCAGGCTGGAGTGAAGTACCGCCATCTCGGCTCACTGCAACCTTTGTCCCCCGCCCTGGGTTCAAGTGATTCTCCTGCCTCAGCCTCCTGAGTAGTTGGGATTATAAGCACCCCCCCCACCACACCCAGCTAGTTTTCTGTATTTTTAGTAGAGACAGGGTTTCACCATGTAGGCCAGGCTAGTCTTGAATTCCTGATCTCAGGTGATCCACTCGTCCTCACCTCCCAAAGAGCTAGGATTACAGGCGTGAGCCACCGTGCCCAGCTCGTTTTCACAACTTTTTTAAGACAAATAATGTAATGTCCTCTAGTTTACTGTTTGGGATCCAGAGCCAGAGAGAGGTTAAGTATATCTCCTAAGATGGAAATTTGATTATTTTCACCTGCATGTCTAGCCAATGCCCTTAAGAGAAGGTTCAAATGCTTTAACAAGTCACACAAACAGGAATCTTCCAGATGGTGTTTCTCTCTTCAAATCCACTTTCCACTCTACATGTCCAGTCATAATGGATTCCTTGTACTCCTACACAAAGCCTCTAATTCTTTGTATCTGCTGTCCCTTCTGTCATAACCTGCTACTCTTTTCACTCCTAGGTGATAGTCTTCGTCCATAGCTTAAATATTCTCTGCTCTAGTAAGACTTACAATGGGTTCTTGCCTTGCAGACTAATAAAAGTACTGTGTAGTAGCCAAGATTACAGAGGTAGTATAAAGCTGCCTAGATTAAAATACTAGTGCTTCCATTTATTCTGTCCCTTTTTTCTTCATTTGTTAAGTGGAGACTATAATAGGGCTGATATGAGGTATAAACGAATACACGTAAAGCACTGGAAATTCTGACTGATTCATGACCACCCTATAAAAAGTTATCAAATGTTGTTAACCTCATATTATAAACACAGGACACGATTTACGGATGAAAGGTTTCTTTTTTTTTTTTGAGACGGGGTCTTCCTCTGTCACCAGGCTGGAGTGCAGTGGCCCAATCTCGGCTCACTGCAACCTCCGCCTCAGCCTCCGAATAGCTGGGACCACAGGTGTGTGCCACCACACCTGGCTAATTTTTTTGTATTTTTAGTAGAGATGGGGTTTCACCGTGTAGGCCAGGATGGTCTCGATCTCTTGACCTTGTGATCCGCTCCCCCCCCCACCCCCCGGCCTCCCAAAGTGCTGGGATTACAGATGTGAGCCACCACGCCCAGCTGGATGGAAGGTTTCTACAAAAATTTGCTTTGGACAATAACCACACATCAACTTTTGATTACTGTGAAAAAAAACTAGAAGAATATGCAAATGCATCCCACCAAAAGCAAGATAAAGGATCACTAATATTGACATTATTTCCTTTTATTTTTTCCTAAATCCACTTCGGGAATTCTGAATACAATCTAACTGAGCTGCAGGTTTCTGTTTCAGGATACTGGGCAGTTCCACAAACCACAAGCACTGAACCCCTCCTTGTCAATCTTGTGCTGGATACTAAGCACATTGTAAAGAATGGGACATAGTCCCTGCAACAACATAAGATGCAGCCTAAGGGAGAAACAGATCAGATCTAAAAGACCCTAAGTAAAAAATTCCAAATAAAGAAGCCACATTTAGGGCCGGGCGCGGTGGCTCAAGCCTGTAATCCCAGCACTTTGGGAGGCCGAGGCGGGTGGATCACAAGGTCAAGAGATCGAGACCATCCTGG